TTTTTAGCTACAACCTCTAGCAAGAGTCTTCTCAGACTAAAACCCCAATTCCCCCAGACCTCCAGCCACAACAGTGTGAATTCCTCAGGGAGGTGCCAGCCTCATCCTTTTGTTCCTCCCACGCTGTTCTGGGGAGCTAAGAAAATGTTTATCTCTCTGAGCTTGGCCTTCATAATTCCATTCCATCACAGCCAAGGTGCTTTATAAAATGGGAGTATGGCTTAATGGTGGTAGGTGGTGGAGATGGTGGTGGTGGAGATGGAGTGGGTTATTCAATTTTCTAGTTGAACAACTCCAATGAAAATGAATAGGAGCTCCAAGCAAAGGTTATTTTTTAAAAAAATAAAGAAAACCATAATTGAGTCAAAGTGTGTCTTTCCATGTCTGCATGACGATTTCAAGAATCTCATAAGAAACTGACACTCCTTAGTATCTCAACAGTCCCATTCTGAAGGAACAATGTTAAATGATAGCTTGTAAATCTGAAGCCCCACGTAGTCTGATATTGAAAAAAAAGGCACATGGAAACAGCAGTCACAAAAAGACAGCCCCCAGGCCTGAGAGAGTAAAAGTACCCTTTTTAAAAAAAATAAAATAAAAAAAATCTAAGCATTTTGAAATGTGAAAGAATAGAAGAAAATGGGGGCTCTGTCGGATCTCATTCAGCCGTTATGAATTTCCATAGTGAATACAGAGAAGACGGAGCGCCAAAGAATGACCCTGCTTTGCTGTGCTAATTCGTGAGCAAAGTCTTTCGTAAATTGGGGTGGCAACTTGTGTTGAATTTTGCATCGTTCTATGGGATGGTTATCAAAGGCCTTTCCAACATCGTATAAAGAACTAACGACATGTTATCACATTGTGAAAACATCAGAAACAGTGACTTTTTAAAGACTTGCGGCATTGCCTAGGTGGGTGAATTTTGAAAAACCATTTTGCTATATTAATTCTGAAGAGAGAGTTCAACAACAGCTTTACAAACTGATCTCATGCACGCTAGATACTTTAAAAAAAAGCCTATATATTCTTTAATTGCCAAAACCTGGTTACTGTAAAGACCACGTGCCTTACTAACTCCACTGTTGTTACGAACAGTATGAGGTGGGGAATGTAACGCAACACCCCTGCCTTTTCTATTTCAACACCTTCTAGGCAGGTAGGCCTGGCATTCTTACCATCCTTTGCCATCAAGCAAAAAGACATCATTATTTGGGATCTTGAGATGTGGCAGGATCCTAGATTGGGAAGGCTGCAATGTTCCAAGGGATAAATGGTGTTCTAGGTGGAAAAGGCAGAGGAACAAAATCACAGAGGGTTTGATTTCAGGGGCCACGTCTCTGACAACTTCTGCCATGAGCACTGGTTCTTCACCAAGGCAGAAAGTGGAAGTTGGTGCTGGCTGAATGGATAATCATCACGGATTTTCTGCTCTATCATGACGTCCTTCAGTGATGTCCTTCAGAAAATCATCACTGATTTTCGGCCCTATCATGATGTCCTTCAGTGGCAAACCATGTTGGCAGTCATAATTTCAAAAGCTTGAGATGCACGAGAGCAGCGCACGTTACATGAGGCACAGAATATTGCTATTTCAAATCACATTCAGCAAATATATGCCATTTGCTACAAATTAGGGTATAACCTGCACAACGAGTTTTTCAAATAAAAATGGATGTTACTACATTTTATTTCTCACTCAAGGAAGTTAAAGTGATGTTGTGCCAGTTCTTTGAGGAGCACATTTTTAACTGACAATACTACAGGTCTCAAGGCAATGGGTTTGATTGGGTGACTTGGAAAATGCCTCCAATCTAGCAAAATAGCACACCCATCTGAACATCTAAATAGCAGTGCAGAGGCCATTCACCTGAATCATTTGATGGAGTACAAGGTGCAACTTCTACATGGTTTATGTGGTAAGAAGTCTCTGAGTTGATTGTAGCAGCTTTTGAAAGTTGCTACACTCTTTGTAAGCCTTGTTTGCTATCCTCTGCTGTGAAGCCCTTAGGAGCCCCAAACTTGAGGAGGCCTCCAATTTTGGCCTAACTTCAGCAAATAAAAAAGAAGACATATATGTAGATATGATAGACATCTTCATCAGGAAGATATATGATGGAGAACAGAATTAAACAGTGTTGTTGATTTTCATGTATTAAACATAATAACTACTTTCATGGCTATATCACGGGTTGAGATATCTTAGGATAAAATTAGATAGATCAGCCTGATAGGTTATAAAAGAGAGGCAGTTGGTGTAATGGTTAAGGCCTTAGGCTAGAAACTGGAAGACCGTAAGTTCTAGCACTGCCTTAGGCACAAAGCCAACTGAGTGACCTTGGGTGGTCACTCTCTCTCAGCCCTAGGAAGAAGAAGGCCAGGCCAAACCACTTCTAAAAATGTTGCCCAGAAAACTGCAGGGGCTAGTCCAGGCAGTTAGCAAGAGTCAACAGTGACTCTAAGTCATCACACGCACACACACACACACACAAAGTTATAAAAATCAATCTTCTGTGGGGGCTCCTAAAGGCAGTCCCACCCTGGTCCCCCAAAAGCCTAAGGCTACCACTGCTCCTTGGGTAACATCCAATTCCTTTGTGCTTCACCAGTGAGAACTCTTCGTATCCATTGCTTGCTGCTGGAGTAGACCAGCTACTGCTGGTAGAGAACTCTACCATCAACAGCAATAGTGCTTCTGAGGCAGAGATGTGAAAAGAAATTGTCTATGGTTGGCCCTGACAGCTGATATAATTACCCAGATGTTTCTCATCACCCAGAAGCTTAATTTAAATCTCAAAGTAGAATTGGAGTAATAACAGCTATTACCGGAATATATCAAATTCCTAAGAGATGAGTACATTTTCCTGAGATGATATAGTGCATCTACAGCAGGTGTACACACAATTAAAACTGTCGCACATGACAATCAAGATGCTGAGACTGCATAACAATCCTTACATGGAAACGTCTTCCATGCACAGATGTGGTACCTATGCAATTCTGTCTCTGCTATGCTCAGTGAAGACTTCAGTCTGTAGATCTTCTAAGGCCAAACAGAGGAGAATTCCAACTATATACACAATTGTCATTCATCACAGAAAGTATAGGCAGCCAACCGTACCTGCAAATATACTTCAGCAGTTACAGACGTGGGGAGCTGGGGCACCAAAGTCTCCGGGTCCAAACTCAACAAAAGCCAACCTGCACTAGCACGATGGAAACTTTGGCAAGACAAGTCAGACAGATCACAGACTAAAGGCCCTGTTTATAGGAACACATTCAGGAAGGCAGAGAGAGATATGAAAACAAGAGAACAGGAGCACCAGAACTAAACTAGAGGCAAAACGAAGGGAAGCCAGTAGCCAATTCCAAATCACAACCACCTTAAAATAGATGAAAACTGAGCTGCTAAATATTTGCAAATGGACAAACATTTCACTCTAGTAGCAAAAGCAGTCCTGTGTGCTCATACTGCAGTATTGTGAGAAGAACAATCCAAATAAACTTATTGGGAATGGATTGGATTTCCCCCTTTGATTTAGTTTCTGCAATGACACACTTAGGTTGTCGTATCCATATCATTGGAACAACTCCTTTACCATTCTCATTTATGCACCTCCATTGAAACCAGTGCTAAGCACAGCATCATCCAAATAAATTGCTCGTTAAAATTTTAACCCAAATGTAGGGCAAAGCACATGCAGGCCGGTTCATTGAGTCTTTCTGGCAAAGGGAGCCCATCACAGCCCACGGGAAATCCTTCTACAAAACTCCTCATCAAGGGAGCACGCGCTCGCTGGGATTGCAATATTTTCTCATCTTGTCCACTTTGAACGTCTTGTTAAGCCAAAAGCGTTTTCATATTTTAGTGATTTGAGTAGAGGTAGTAGGTTTTTAAGGGACAAAAATCTTATCTGCATAAAATTCAATTAATGCTAGTTCTTGTTATCGGTAAACAGAAGGCCAGAAGGCTTGCAGCTAATTGCCTACCTTGATCTTCTCAAGGCATCTTCATCTGGATCTTGCACTGCAGATGAAAAATTGGTAATGTTAGAAGGAGAAGCATCAAACAAGAAGTCTGAATGGAGAATGAAACCTTACTACGGTGGGTGGGGAAGTGGTAGCTCATACTCTCATGAGGACAGGGTCACTACACAGAGGAAATCTGCCTGGATCTCTCAGCATCGTTTATTTGATCTAGAAAGTATCCATGCCTTCCAGTTTGGATCACGGTCATATTTCCCAATGAAACTTATCTGAGGAGTGGAGGACAAAATGTACATCATATTCATTCTGTAGCTAAGGGGACTTGGATCATCGATTTCAAAGAGAAGTTTTAATTCACTTCCCATCTGCTTTGTCTTCAACCTCAAAAGTCTTCCCCAGATAAAATTTTAGGAAAGTGGACTTTACTGGAATAATTGTCACGGATTACATTATATTTGATCTGGCCAATCACTAAGCAGGGAATGTTTAATAATTCTCAAAAATAAGAATAAACTGAATGGCGCAAATAAAACACAAATGTTGTTTTGCTTTTCTATACTGAGTACTTGTGAAAGAGTTACTCTTTACCAACAGATTGTTGATTCACAATGCTGTTTAGCTGGTAGGTAAAAAAATTTCTAATCCAGACAGCCCTAGAAGAAGGGGATTATTTGGACCCTTGGCAGTGAGGTTTCAGACCAGGGTCCAGCATGGACACCGCATTGATTGTAAAAATTTCTGCAACTTATAGTTACTGCCACTACTATTATGATTTAGTTTGAAATTCTGGAATATGGAATATGCTTCAGTCTGCATGTACTGCTTTTGCTTTGATTCGGAAAGCTTTCCTTCCTTGACCCTTTCCAGGTCTAGTTTCAGCACAGATTCTTCCTGCACAGTATAGATAGAAGGTCAGTATGGGAGAATCCTGCCTATCTGTTCTTGTTGGGCTGAAAAGTGGCCTTCTCCTGAACTCTTTAGACTGTTAAGTCATGATGTCCTGAAATGTTAAGTATTTGGCCCAGCAGTCTCAGAGAGAGACTTCTGGAGTGATTATAAAATCTTCAGTCATTTTTCAATTGACTTCAGTGCCACAAGAAGGCATAGGGACAAGTTATCTACACTTCTGAAAATGAGCATCATCAAATACTGGTAAAACCAAATTGTATCCTGAAATTTTAAGAAGATCACAAAAGAAGATCTTCCTGTCCTTTCTGGTCTTCACCCACCCCCAAGCCTCTTCCAAGAGTCAGGAGGGACCTCCTGAAGTATGGTGTGATATGCTGGGGGACCTGTTGAGCAAGGAGAATCGCCAAATGTGGTAGATCATTTCTTGGTTTGAGGCAATTCCTTCATCTTTCAGTAGCACCCCCCTGTACGAGGAATCTCCCATCCTTCAGAGAGACTATTCAGAGTGGGACACAGATACACTCCTTTTGTAAACTTCCTCCACCTTGCCTTAGCTTAGGACCTAGGACTAAACCTTTAACTCAGATGCCCACTTGACAGTGTATCATTCTTAATCACTGTTTTTGGAAACTACACTTGAGTTGAACATTTAAAAGTTTATTGAGGTAAGTCAGAAGTGACCCTGATGGGAATTCATTATGATCTGGTCGACAAGGAATTGACTGCTGAGCATCAGTAGGGTTGTTTTCCCATTGACGTGAGACCCAGCCTGGGGATCATTTGGAATCCTGCTTTGTTATTTTTGTTTACAGGCAGGTTGGCATCATCTATAGAGTAAATCAAATCAAATCAAATCAAATTAAATCTGTATTATGGTCATGGACCAGCATAAATCTATAGAGTAGGTTTTCTGCCAAAATTATGGAGCCTTTCTTGAATACCCTCTTGCAGAACACAGATTTTGCCATGCTGATGATCACTACTATAAAATCTATGCTGGATACTGCAATATTTTCAAGGACCTGCACCTGAAACTTCAATTATTTGAATGCCACAAAACAAAAATACTTTAAAATAGATGTAGTAAAACCTTGGTTTTATAGTTCCCCATTTAAATGCGACAAACACATTTTTAATTAGGACTTCACCCTCAAATAACAACATCCAGTGTATCCAATGCAGTCTGGACAATTGACTTAATTTAAATAATTTGCCTCAGTTTATGCAAATGGTGTAAATTAACACAAATGACATAATTACATCAATTATGTCACTCTGCGATGACAATGTACCTCAGTTATGTAATTATGCAAATGCTGTAAATTACCTTAAGTTGCATATGAAAAGGAACCAGTGTACCTCAAAAACATTCTTTCCTTGTATCCTATAAGCTTTCCATAGGTTCACCGGTTGCCATCTATTCATGAAAGTATGGTCCCTCCATTGTAATAGCTATGTTCTTGCAACATACTCTCTGCATTCAACTACCTTCTTGGTAGCTCTGTCAGAGTACAGTCACAATAACTGGTCCAAAGATGTCTTTGGGATTAAGAATCCCTGCCTCCTTTCTCCAGGAAGTTTCTACTATCTCATGTCCTCCTGTGCCTGGGGAATGCTGTCTCTTTCCCCGTGGGCTAAGAAGGCCTCAGCAGGTGTGACTTGGCCCCTGCCATCACCTAGTGTCTGAAGGTGTGTTCTGTGCTCCAGCTGTTCATTCTCTAACAGAGGATCCTGGTTTCTTTC